AGCTTCAACCATAACAACACAAGAGCACACAATAGATACAAACTCAAAGTAAACCGCACCAAACTTGATTGCAGGAAATACGACTTCAGCAATAGAGTGGTCAATGTCTGGAATACTCTACCCGACTCTGTAGTTTCTTCCCCAAACCCCAAAAACTTTAACCTTAGACTGTCTACTATTGACCTCACCCCTTTCCTAAGAGGCCTGTAGGGGGCGTGCATAAGCGCACCAACGTGCCTACCGTCCCTGTCCTATTGTTTCTCTTATTCTTTTATTTTTCTTATATGTACCCATTTCATGTATTCACAACTATGTATACATTTATACTTATTATCTTGTAAACAATTGGCAAATCAAATAAATAAATAAATAAATAAATAAATATAATTCTTCACTTGTTGTGAGTCAGCATCTTCTTTTGGTATGATGGTAATATACACTTCCATCCATGAATTGGGTATTTTAGCTTTAATCAAATCATGTACACACGATTTAATCAAAACTTAAATCAAAATTTCATTTACAACTTCTAATAACACTTCACTTATAGTGTCCTGTAAGGCTTTGTACATTTCTGCTGGCAGGCCATCTGGTCCTGGCGCTTTTCCATTATTTTGTTTTTGGATTGCTTCTATTAATTCCATCATTATAATTTTCCCTTCCAACATCATTTTGGTTTCTTCTGGCACTTTAGGTAATTCAATTTTCTTTATGTATTCCTCTATTTCTTCTATCTTCACTTGTTCTTTGTATAATTATCTATAGTACTTTTGTATTTCTTTTGTATTTCTTTTTTATCCTCATTTCTGTGACACAGATTCCCTTTATCATTCATTGAGATATCCTTTTCTTTCTCTTTTTTTAACTTGTATGCCAACTATCTTCCTGGCTTGTTTGCGTTTTCGAAAAAATTCTGTTTAGTTTAATTTTTTGTGCTAGTTCTTCTTTATCTGTTATTTCCAGTTTATGTTTTATCAAAATCATTTTACGTTGAATTTCTTATATAAGCTTTAGCTGTGTCCCACACATTTTGTAATGAAGTTTCTTCTTTTTTGTTTTGTTCAAAGAAAAAAATTAATTCTTTTTCCATATGTTCAATATATTCTTTTTCTCTCAATATTAAATTATTGTCCATCTTGACCTCTTCTTTTGTCCTTTCCATATTATCTTAATCAGGTTATGATCAGCCCATGTATTTGTTTCTATGCTTGTCTTGTATATTAGCAATTATTTCTGTTGTTGCCCATATCATATCTATTCTAGACCAAGATAAATGGCTATTTTAATAAAATGTATATTCTCTTTTCTGGGTATCTTTCCCTCCATGCATCTTGAATTGCTACTTCTTCTATCCTGCCGAGCATCCTTATTGAAAAGCTGACTAGGATTTTCCCTCTTCCTGAGCACAAACAGTGAGGGCTGGATCAGTCACATCCACTCCCTGAAGCTTAGCACCGGCTCCCCACAGGACTGTGTGCTCAGTCCCTACCTGTACTCATTGTACACATGACTGTGTATCGTCTGACCCATCCACTGTGATAATTAAGTTTGCAGATGATACTACCATTTTGGGTCTCATTACAGGTGGAGACAAAACAGTGTACGGGAGGGAGGTTCAAAAATTATCTTTATGGTACCTAGAAAACAACCTGCACCTAAACATCAGCAAGACAAAGGAGATGATATTAGACTTGCAGAAGGAAAGGAACCCACCCCACTTTACATCAAGGGGGGCTATGTGGAGAGAGTTTCCTCCTTTAAATTCCTGGGAGTCTACTTCAGCGAAGATCTTACCTGGAAAATCAACACAATCCAGGTGGCCAGAAAGGCCCAAAAGAGACTCCATTTCCTTAAGGCTTTGTGAAAGAATAAAGTGGAACAACGACTGATGACCTCCTTTTACCGATCCATAATAAAAAGCATCCTCACATTATGGTGTGGTATGCTGGCTTGACAGCCACAGATAGAAAGACATTACAGAGGGTGGTGAGCACAACACAAACATTGTGGGCTGTTCCCTGATACCACTAGGTGACATCGTTAGGGCTCGTTGTCTTACAAGAGAGAAAAATTCTCAGGGACGACTCACATCCCGGTCAGCACTTCTTCACTCTCTTACCATCGGGTAGGAGATATAGAAGCATAGCCAGCTATACCAACAGGCTGAAGAACAGTTTCTACCCGTGGGCTGTCAGACTTCTGAATGGAAAATAACTTCAGGTCAACATAGTATGAGAGACTTGCGGGGCCGGCGCATTGTGCAACAAGATCACATAGGGTAATAAGATTGGGACTGGGTTCTGTTCTCACTGTGAATTGTGTTGGGAGGGGGAGTGCACGAAGGGAGGCTCAGCCAATCTCATTGTACACAAGTTGTACTCTAACAATAAAGGTAATAATAATAATAATTCTGCCATTTTAAAAAATGCTTTAGGTAGTATTTTTTTGTTCTTTTTATTTGTCTTTTGTGTTTTAGTCCTTTTTAACATCTACTATTGCATTATAATCTCCAATAATACAAATATGTTCATATCCCAGTTCTATTATTCTCTTGTGTAGTTTGTCATAAAACTCTTGATTTTCATTTGGAGCATAAATTGCCACTAGTAAAGTCCGTTTATAGTTCATCAACATTTCAACTATTAATATTCTTTCTTCCTCATTTTGGTAAATTAATTCCGTTTTTATAGTGTCTTTTATGTATAGTGCTATTCCTTTTACTCTGTTGTGCCAATGTAGTATGTAATTTCCCAATCTTATGATAGTCTAATTTATTAAATATTATTTTCCTTTTAATTGCCGAATTTAGTCCATTTATATTAAGTATCATTAACTTAATTTCTTCTTCCATGGTTTTATTTATTGTAGGGTCTAGTTGATCCTATCACTTTTAACTCTGTTCGCTTGCTTTTTCTTCTTCCCTAATGGCTCTTTCCTCCACTTCCTTTTCTCCTTCTCTTTGTTGTCTATCTTCTACCTCTATGACTTCTTCTCGTAGTTTTATTGTTTCCATCTCTCTTCTCTTTTCTCCATATTCTCTAAAATATTGATCATAGAATAGTTCTGCTTTTTCAATTGTATCTAGTCTATGCCTTTGCTCTTGCCAAGTCACCATTATTCCTTCTGGTATCAGCCACCTGAAATTAATTTCTCTTTTAATCAAATATTTTGTCAGGAACTGGTATTTTTTTCTCAAATCTCTTACAGATCTGGGTATTTGCTTCAACACTATTATCTCCTTTCCTTTATATTTTAATGGTTCATCTTTCACCACCTTTGAATCTCTGTTCTGATAGACCTCTTTGTAAATCTAATATGGCAATTTGTGTCTCATTCCATATGAAGTCTGGACCGTAAAAATTTCATCATATCATATATCATTTTCTCCTTTGTCTCCTTTCTAGCTGCTGCAAGTAGATCTGCCATTATGTCTGCCAGGTTTTCATCTTTTTTCTTCTACAACATTTTGAAATCTTAAATAAATAGTTGGCCTTGTCCATCTCCAACATAATTTTCTTTTTGTCTATCATCTAAGTTTATTTAAAAATATATTTAACATTATTACTAGAATCTGCTTACGTTTGACCATAATTAAAGTTGTGAGAGACACTGTAAATAAATAGGTTCTAATTCAAAGGATTCTAAAATACCAGAGGTTGTGATTGCTGAGAGACTGCTTTAGCAAAATAGTTACATAGTCCCTAAATATCAACACATAATTTTTTGAAAGTTAATTGGGAATGACTGCAAATTCAAGTAACTGACATGGATCCCCTTTTAATTAACAGCTTAAATTTAAGCTGTTGGGTTTTGGAATGGAGAATAATATCTAGCAAAACATAAATACAAATTAAAGCTGAAAAGGAACATTGAGTAATAAATATTCATCACCAAGTATAAAGAAGCTAGCTGTATGATGCACAAAGTATTTAAAGAACATACCTTGTTCTCTTGAAATCTCTGGTTTATACCAAAATTTGGAAGTATCTTGAACAAAATTTACAGTTACGTGTTTATCACCCATATTTTCTGCGAGATAAAAAGATGAATATGATTTTAAAAAGCATACCATACTATCACAGCATAAAGCTGACAGTTTTTATAAGATAACGCCATTCAGAAGTATGTTAATCGTCACTATTACCATTCTTTATAGCACCTCATTCCCATCTCATAATGCAAGTGTGTCAGGAGGCATCTGAATATACTAGAAAGACATCCTACATGAATAGCTGTACATCCAATTTAAGTATGAAAGGTTTAATGGCTACACATTTTTGCATTAGTTGATTTGTACATAGAGAAACAATTATACTAAATAGCGAGAAGAGCTGTTACCCTTCTGGAATGCATACCTAACACTGGTGGTGGGTTTCCAACTTTAGAGAAATCTGGAAGAACATTTGGAAATGGAATTCTGATAGTGCTTCCACTATGTGGGCTGGAGAAAACACTTGAAGGCGAGACAGAGCCAAAAGAACATTCTGTCTCAGAAACCCTTTTCTTCTCAGGAAGAGGGGTTTCTGGATAAATTTGCAATCCCTGAATTTGCTGACTAGTATATCCAGAAGATGATACAAGACAGGTATGTGGCAAACAATTACTGCCCACCATAGATTTTATTACTTTGGGAGACTCATCAGCATTTGCCATAAAAGAAAGGTTTTTTTCTTCCACTAACTGGTTACTGTTAGCAACAGTCTCATCATAATTCTGAAAAGTTTGGATGCCATCACAAACTGTAAGGTCCTGTTGTGGCAGAGCTGTTATATTTGCTAGATTGTTAAGTATCCCAGGCTGAAGTCCTTTTCTCTGGAAGTATAAATCATTTTGCTCAGGAACAGAAAGATCTGGAGACATGAGGTAACTTCCTATATTGATGTTACTCATTTCTGGAAACTGGGGCATCAAGGAAGGCTGAGAATTGTTTTGATGCCAAATATGTTCATCTGTTGAACTGTATAGGAAAGGGAACAAAAGTTACATCCTGTCTATTATAAATATTTCAGCATGCAGAATTTAAGATGAAGTCAAAACAACAATTGATTGCAGAAACACACAGATTTCAATGGTTTTCATGTGCTCAATTAACAAAAAAGTTTAATATGGAAAAAAGATAATTGGAACTGAATTATGTACAAATGATGAAAATATAATATCTAAATGTATAACATTTTGTTAAAATTTGAAATAGAAGAACAAATTAAATATTGAATGACAAATAGGCTATTAGTTTTGGATATAATGTACAGATGGATACTTGTGAGACAATGTGAGTAACTGGTTTTAAACTTGCATTGTGTCATAACCCAAGACAAAGTTTTTATAACATCATGTAATGCTGATATATATGATCCTAGAGAAATTATCACATATGTACAAAATTATTTCAAACGAGTGTTGGAAATGTGAAAACCGTGAAGTGATATTCTATCATGCATTGTAGACTTGTGAGAAAACTAAGACAGTATGGATAAAAATTAATATGATGATACAAAGTAATTTAAAGATAAATATTATGAAGAAACCAGAAAGCTTTTTATTAGGACTTATGCCCAGCAATTAAAAAATAATGAAATCGTCACATGAAGGAATGAACTGTGAAATGCTTAGAATTTCCTGAGTTGACTTATCTCATCAGAGAAAAAAAAATAACGAAAATGTTTTTGAAAGACTGGGAACCTTATGACTTTTTGTTAAAAGAAAAAAAAATGATTCACAAAAAATGATTTGACAATTTAAAAAAACTATAGATCAAGTAAAGGGCTGAAGGTATTTGTATAACATAAGAGGGGGAGAGTTTGAGTGGCATGGCAGCCTAGAGGTGAAGACACTTGCCTCCTACTCAGAAGGTTGAAAGTTCAATCCTAGGCAGCAGCAGATGTTTCTCTATCAGAAAGCAAAAAGAAAATATCTGCTGCAAACTTCACATAGGTATTAGGAAGGGCATCCAGCCAGTAAATACTCAGCTCCACTCAGTTGCCCTAATTCCATCCCAAAACAAAGGGATTAAAAAGTTGTAAAAGGGAAGGGGGGGGGGCAGAATGATCATAGAATTATAATTATCTGTAGAAGCGGTCAGAAGTCATATTTTATAACTTTAGTGTTTTAAAAAAATCTTTCATTTTACTTCTTTTTCTGTTGGAAATTTAAGGAAGAATTAGATTTTAACTACCTCTCTTTTCTTGGAATAATAGTATCATTTGAAACTGAACATGTAGCTGCAAAAGGCCGATGATGGGAAGGAACCGATTCAATGCCAGCCTGCAACAAGGATGGATTTGGAGTTCTTGAATTGTCAGATATCACAGTGGAGTGATTAAGGTCTTCTATGTAACCTCGGGGTTCTGCAAAGATCAAGAAAATAATATTTTGGTTAAGATCGTAACCCTGTAATAATAACTAATACTATCTATTATCAGCAATGAAAGCACTGTGAAGAGGTAAGAAAATCAGAGGCAGTATTGCAAGTTATCTCTCTGTTCCACATATTTATGATGCTATTTATACAGAAACATAAACGTATAACTCATAAAGACACTTTATACAAAATATTTTCTTCTTGAATAAAACTATCAAAGAGGCAAACAATACACCAATAAAAAAACTACCAACTGAAGGCAAACAAGCTAACAATAAACAACAGCCCAATCAAGGAACCACCACTCCCACCAACACTGTTATAGCACACCACTAGTATATAAAATGAGAGCAACCCTACTCCCTACTAGCACTGATGATGTTACCTAATTTGGTAATGAAATGTTTTTAAGAAAATAACTAAGTTGAGAGCATCAATTCTTAACAATTCACACTATATAGACAGACAGGCAAATATCTGTCTTCTGTCAATATTTAAATTAAAGTTTTTAATTGGCACACCCTGGTATAAACATGGACTGAGATATTAATATCTTTGGAAGCATTCAATACAGGCTCCAATGATTAAACCCTGGAAGATGTTAAGTGACATTCTAAGCATACCTGACATAAGTATAAAAGAATTTGTATTATATTTATTATATGAAATATAATAAAACTAAATAAGATTACATTGGAAATATAAAAGCCAAATCAAGAAATTGGACAAGAAATCCTCAATGGTGTCTTTTAGTGCAGGGGTTCCCAACCACCGGTCCACGGACCGGTACCGGTCCGCGGAACAAGTCCTACTGGGCCGCTGGTTTGCTGGGCGCCGCCATCTTTTTTTGATGAAAAAGTGCTTCCGGTGAGCTTTTCCGGGTAGAACGCTCAC